TAATAAAACAATAAAGTATATATATAAATATATCTATTTTACCTTTTTCTTTTCCATTTCACGAGCGGCCTTTTCTTTAGGTTTAAGGAAATATTCACCAGATTCCAGTTGTAAATCGATCTTAAAATCGCAAGAAAAAAACATGTTAGCGCAGTAAAATTGAAACAATATTCTAAATTACAATCAATTAAATTACCTTTCTTGGGGTCTGCGGAGGAGGAAAAGGTGTGTATTCTTTTTTCTTGATTTGTTTTTTCTGTCTTTTGACGTTTTGTTTTTTGAAATGAGGTAAAAACCTATCCCATGATTCATTTTTTAACTTTGGATCTTGAGCAAGTTCTTTTTTAATCATTAATTCCTAGTTGATAATTACCAATTTAGAAATCGATTTAAATGATGATAATTAATAGTTCAATTATGCTTACTTTAATGTGATATATAGGATGAATGTTCTTTAAACAATCGATTACTATTTTTCTTACTTCTTTCAAACCTTTATATGAACCCATAGAAGATACGGTATTTCCTTGCACCATGACATAGCATTGAGTCAATAATTCTATCGCCTAAAAAAGTTAATTTAGTATCTTAAATCGGCTTAAAGTTCATAGTATTTATCTACTTAAAGAAGATTATACCTTCAGCGTTGAACCATTTGGCCCAATCAACCTTTGCCTTCGTTTGACAAAACGTTCTTTGCTTCGAATAATATTTCCAATTTTAATAATGTCACATGATACACCATCGTCAAGAATCTTAACAGCCTAATATGTGCAATTCAAAATCAATTTAATACTGAAATAATATCATTACTATTTTGTACACCAAAAATACCTGAGGAAATGGAACGCTTCTTGCCAGCAATTTTATCAAATCACGAGCTTTGAGTATTATATATGGATCATATGTCTTTCTGGTTGTTTTAACTGTCATACTTCCTTCGACTAGATCTAATAGACATCCAATACCCTAAATTTGAGACGGTGTTGAGAATTCATATTTTAAGTGTTAGTAAACAGAATAATGAATGTTGAAAATAAATACCACATTCTCTAAAGCTTTCGTAACATGGGGCCATATTTCTTTTAAATAATTTTCTCGATATTTTGGAAATAGAGTTGCAAATGAAGATTCTTCAGTAAAAGTGTGCGGATTATCCTCTCGAGAAAACGGCTCGATTTTCCAATGATCTATATCCTCATTGTCCCAGGCTAAATTTATTGTGGTTGAATTTATTAGTTTATAAAATTTTCGTCAGATAAATAATTAATCAAGTAGATAACCTGTTTTTACGTTTTTCTTTGCGGTATTTTTTTGATTTTGGCTTCGAGGAAATTGTATCAGAAGAAGTATTATCATTACTCTTTTCAGCCATGGTATAGTTTTTTACCGATCAAATATTCAATAGTACATAAATTCAATTTTATATCTTTAGAGTAGAAGAAGAAGCGGTTTAATTAGAATTTCTCTCATGAGAAAATATCCAAGCTCTGAGATCCATGTTAAAGGGTGATCTCAATGAAGTGATGTCCCAGTATTTGTCAATTCAGAATACGTACATCAAAATTATTTCGAATAAACCTTTTTCAGATTATAAATGGTACATCGATATTCTTCATGAACAATATTTAATATCAAAAATCAAGGTATCAGTATAAAATTTTCTAAAACAATTTAATTTCTTATCATCATTATCTATCAGATCGTCACCCTATTGGATATTAAAATCAGTTATTGTACGATTCCTAAATCAGAGATCTTGCTTTCAATTGTAAGTACTCTACTTTTAACTAATAAATGCGTCTTCCAATGATGATATTTGAATCGTAGTTTTGGTGATCTTCAATGAGCCACAACTAAAACATGCACTACCATCTGAGCACTTATAAAATTTAATTTTCTATATCATACAAATTGCAAGGTCTAGTCTAATTGTATAATTCTTATAATTTTCTTAGACCATTATGTGATACTTGAAACGAAAGATATTTATTAAGGTAAATTTGATATTGCCATACATATTTTATTGTAGTTAGCACATGATGATATTTATTTTCCAGTTCTGCTTCTGAAATTAATAATGAAAGATATAAAAACTTTACCTGATCTGTAAAAATTTTTTATATAGTATTATGTAAAGCCAACTTCTACTAATGTTATTTAATGATCATCCCCTCTCTAGGATAATAAAAGAAATTACCATAGTGTAAAAAAAAAATCATAGATACTAACTGGGATTCATGGTATGTATCTGAATTCAATGCTTTGATAAAGGCATTGATATGATGTTTTTAATCAAATCCGTGTTTCAGATGAATTTATTTCTTGATTATATATATTGACCCTGATCTAGTATTTAACATTTAAATCGTTGTTCTTTTATTATTATAACAATCTCAATTATTTTTCTTTAACATTCAACAGGAGTAGCAACGGAAGAATTTTTCACTAAACTTAGACCTTGTCAAAGATGGTAAACATTAATTTATATAAGTTTAGTAATTAATCGTATATTAAGTGATGACAATTGTTATATCCATTCGATGATTGGGGTTACATCATGTGCAACAACCAGGGGAAGCTTTTTTTGTCGAAGGTTCTCTTTGACAAAATTAGTTGACCCACCAGTTAATCATGATGGGATATTTGTCTAGCACCTTCATACATTACCGTTGTTGGTTGGTGCCTCAAATATTTTATTTCCCCACAAGATCTGAATTAACTGCTGATACTAGTTATAAAAATTTATTCATTTCATTTATCGTTATATATTTTTTAAAAAAACTGATTACAATTATGTTCTACAATATTATGTTCATTTCGCATATAGAAGTTTCACCCTATCCACTTATCTTGATATTCAACAAGTGAAATCCAACGAAACATTTTCCATTGCACTTGTTCTTCTAATATGTAGCGGTGAGATATGTTTCAACATTGTTTAATTTTTAAAATTTCATTAACAATAAACGTACAGTTACCATTTATTTAAAATTAAATTAAAAATTCTAATAATTTAATAAAGAATGTTAAAATTTTTGAGTTTTCTTAATTTTTTTTATAATCCTATTTAGCTGATATTTCTTCATTAACATATATATATAATATTTATTTATTTATTT